GGGGGGGGTGAATTAGAAAAGATCAAACCAAGTTTGAAGGTGCAGATAAATTCAAAATAATATGGTCCTTGATTTTACAAATTTTATCTATGTGATTGAAACTAAAATTTTAATCAATGTATGTTAAAAAATAAATTTCCCAAGCAAATTGTCATTAATTTCAACATGTATATCAAGATGTCAAGTATGTCATTTTGGTAAACAAAGATTTCATGAATATTTTATTATCGAAAGGCCATGAATGACCCAGGTCACACCCGACAAGGAACACGTGTGAAATTTGCTGAACGACTGTCCTTTCGTGTCGTAAGAAACCTGCTTAGAATTCCATTTATTACCCAGTTTTTATAATCTGTAGAATAATACATACAAAAGTTTATGTAAATACAGTGTCTTTCTAATAGGTTTCTGAACATTGTTGATAACAATGCATATTTTTTATAGTTAGAAAATAATCATAGCATATTGAAAAATCTTATTGAACGCACTCAGTACACGTATAACATTAAACGTTATATATTTCTACCTTCGATGCAGTGTTTCCATAAATGCGAAAACTTCCCATTGCCTTAATGCCCCAATACCAAAACATATATTTATGTATAAATAATTATTGCTTTACTATTTCATGTGAAAAGATTTAACTTATATCAGTCCTAATATTTACATGCAACTTAAATTTATTTTGAACAGGGAAATTTTCTAAGCCGTTAGAATAAACAGAAAGAAAACAGGAAAGAAACTTTAACAAGAATACATAGACTTGCGTTTCGTTTAAGTCCGTTTTCGTTGTTTTCGTTTTTTTAGCCAGATCATGAAATTAGATAATTTAAACAATTTTATTTTTTGAAATCTTACTAATAATACACTAGGATGAGGTAGCTTCCTACAAATTTAAAAAAAAATATACGATTTCTTCCCGCCAAATTCTTGAAATTTTACCTCCACGAATATTAATGAAAAACACAGTAAATTGAGTACATGAAAGTGCAGTTGAAGATACAACAAAAATAACAAGACAACAACAACAACAAAAAAACATAATATTTAATAACAGAAAAAAATTAATTGAAGATGGTTTGTTATGAACACAGGGTAGGAAGCAATGGATGTATTCATAACTACAGGGGGGTTGGATTACTTACCAGTGAACACAAGCACTACATAAACCTCGGAGGAACAATATTGGTTAAAACAAATCGTCGCCAGGATTTATATGAATAATACTGTCAATCTTTTCTAATGACAAGGCCTGCTTTATAAATTATCGACAGGTGACATCGATCCCTCGTACAAAAAAATGTATTAATTGGCATCTATGAAGATCACGGATTTTTCTGTTCTAAAAATAGACTCGTTGGTTTCTGGGATTTCCCCTCCATGAAAGGATACCGTAAATTAGGTTCAGATATATAAATTTGCACTTTTTGTACTCATCGAAAATATTAAAAAATCGAGGGTTTTTTCTGAAAAGGGAAGGGGGGGGGGGGTAAACGTTTCCGAACGGCACGTCTCGGCAGCAATTCCTAATATTTGATTTTTGATTTAAAAGAATTAAAATTAATACAAAGGAGACTTAAGCTGAAAGATTACATGTATAATTATGAAATCTCTAAATGCTTGTTGTTTGTGACAATATATTTACATCCACTGAATTTTTTCTCCTTTATTTCTTCAGAAAACTTTTGCCGTTTATCAGTCAGTAACCACCCCCTCTACAGGTTTTTGAAGCAGTGGCTGTTCCATCAATGAAACGTACAATGACGTACATATCAATAATACATTATTTCATCTACTAAATCCTACTTTAAGGTCAAGATCTAGTAAATGACTTTAGACCGTCTTTTCGGTGCTAGATCCATTATGACGTCATAATCAATTTAAACTTTCCTTTTCCCGTACTTTACAGCTCCAATAGAATTATGTAGAAAATAAAGTATTTTCATAGCATTCAATTTGAAATCATGTGAAAAGTAATCCCGATACCTATATTCAATTTTACATTATTTTAAAGAAGAGGTTAAGAACATACAAATTACCGTTTTCTGAGAGACTGTAGGCAATCTGAATACATTTCCTTCGTCTGATATGGAAAAAACTCCCATATTCTTGACTGGCTTTCTTAATTTTTCATTGCAAATGACAGTTTACAAGATGGTTTTTCGTCTTGTTTTCTTGCAAATTATACCCCGATACACCTTATTTGACCGCGCTACAGTTATAAAGCATCATAAAAGGAATTTATATTATTTTTCAAGTTTGAGAAATCTGTAGGCTCTTTTCATTTACTAGATCTTGACCTTAAATGATCATTTGCACAGATATACATATAAAAAATAAAATGTCTTTCTTCGTTTGTTAGTGCGGGGATTAACGTAGCAGCTATTGCAGACAAAAAATAATTACATAACCGTCCCGCTTACCCTGATTATGTATTTTTTCAGTAACAGCTGCAACACTGATTCCCGTACTAACAACCAAAGAAAGCATTTTATTATTTAAATCGACTTTTGGCTATGTAGGTGTATTTGGAAGTAAATATATACATATTTATCTTAATCTTTCTTAAACCCATGATATACTCCAATATTTTATTTTGTTTTATAATAGACTAAATGGAAGATAAATGAATGTACTATGCATATAATCTTGAAGTGTTTCATTCCATTAGAAGGGAAGTCACATATTTAGTTTACTTATACAAACAGGTCTTCTGGACAACAACCCCCCACCCCCACCCCACCCCGATTAACCCTTGGGCTAGTTGAATTTTTAAACTTTTTTCCAAAAGGACTACAAGTATCTGTGCTTCCTCCAAGTAAAATTGAGGTGTAGTTAATTAAGAGATGAATTTAATTTTTGAGAATTAATGAGGACATGAACTCCTTCATATTTCATGAAGCGCGTTAGCGCTTCATGATAAATATGCAGGCGTGAAGCATTGTAGTTTATGTACTTCATGAATTCTCAAAAATTAAATTCATATCTTATATTTACATTATTTTTCTGATGACTTGCCACATATTTTTGTCATTCAACGATCATTTTTGAAAAAAAAAAATTTGCACTATTTTTTGACTTCAATCACATCACAATGGAAATATTCTTACTCATCCCACGGTAGTTCATGAGAACATGAACGTTTTCTAATTTGCAAAGAATCAAATATTTGGAAATGTAAATATTACATTCATAATTCTTGCAGTGCATTAAGTTTCTCTTTTACTAATTGATAAGTTTATCAATATTGCAACGCAGAAAATATTGGGACTTTTTGTACATTTAGGTTAATTAGGTTAATTAGAGATATTCCTCAGATAATCAACACCTTATTCGCCGAATATCGAAAGTCGAGGAATAATTGAAATCTCTTTCACCAAAAATATAAGAGTATAATGCAGTCACTGATTAATCTTTCATTATACTCACTCGGCATATAAAAACGTTCAAGTCTATATCAAGTAAATGTAAATTTCTAGTACCTTCAAAAATCCATGTAATTAAAAGAAAAGGAAAAAAAATCTAATGATGATTTTTATTGAAAACATTAACAACAGATGAAGGACAAGATGAAATGGACATGACTCTGTGTGTGTACTGTGCGTCTTCACTTGGTGATAAACCGCTTCCTCTTTCAGGTGAAATAAATAGATGGGATGATAGAAATAAATTACTACCTGTAATGTAAAAAAAAAAAGATGTTACGACACGGAGAGAAATTTAACATATATTTATCTACATCCTTGTGAGTTCGAGTTCAAGCAACTTCATTCTGTTTTTAAACCGAGGCAGAAAACATGGCGGCCCCCCCCCCCCCCGAAGTTTTTGAATATTCGGTAGTTAATACTTAGAATATGATATTGAATATGTCCTTATATATTTGACGGAAACTTTGTAGATACCTTGGATGTGATGTGAAATGTTCGTCAAATTATCTTGAATAAATAATAATCAGCATTAATACTTACATTTTATGATTAAAAGTGACCACGGTGGACAACAACTGGCATTATTGGAGGCTGAGCGATGGGGAAAGGAGCAATGAAAGGTGGGGGTGGTGGTACGATGATTCTGCTTGGGTTGCGTCCGAGACTGTTGGCGGCGATGAATGGCGCAGCAAAGGACAGAGCCAGCGCTGGGTTTGCGCTGATGAAGGCGCCTATTTGCTGAAAGATGTTGTTGGTTCCAGTTGTGACGGTCTGTGAGAGCACAGATCCGGAGAGGCACATAACGGCCAGAACAATAGCAACGGAAGTCCTCATGTTTATCTGTAATCGATAAATTTAACTGTAAATTAGCATCTTGATGCTTTTCTACATTTCTTGTTACAAATTTGCGACAATATGAATTGTTCTAAACGATTACGTGAATCTCATGTACAGTGAGATTTTCAGTTCTAAAAATTCTAGGGACAGCAAATACATATTAAAGAGGAATTAAAGACGCATGCAAAAAGATTTAACTCGAGAGCTTATTCCTCTAGAGCAAAAAGGAGTTTTACAATGAAAACAAAACATTTTGAGACAGTAGCCTAGAATATTTTACTTCCAGCTTTTATATGTAACATAGCAATTTTTCTCTGAATGAAGATTTCAAATGTTAGAATTTGAACGATAACGATCGGACAGTTGTTCGATTTTCAAAGTGTTCGAATTTGTAAACCTGGATCGCAAGTGACACAAGTAACTTTTAGAACGTTTCAGTATTTTCCATTGCTTTAATATCTTAAAGTAGAAATAATTCTATTTTTTTTTAAAGATTTAAACCTTTCTTTGATTACCATACACAGTTCTTAACATACCTGTATTACTGTTTGAATCCAAATACTGAATTAAAGTTGATTAAGCAGAGAGGATTTTTATACTATTGAGTCAGACACTCTTGACAGGTCAACTGTCATTTTGTCTGAGAAATTTTATAAATGGCTATAGTTTTGTGAGCATCTTCATTCATTGCTGTTTAAAAGTTAACACTGTACATGTGTTGACATGTGTAAAACAATGACTGCAGGTAACATAACGTCGTGTGTATTAATTTTAATAACGATGTCCACATTGTCGCACCCAGACTGTCTTGGACCGCCCTTTTTCCGAGACATTCAGCAACCTCAAGTAGAGGTATATAAGCCATTTCGATATTTTCGAACAAAAAAATGTATTTTTTGTTATAATGATGTGTTACATTGGATTATTTAAAGGTTATTCTAAATTTCGTTACCATAAGAACTCTATTTTTTTAAAATTCATATTCCAGTTTTACTTATAATAATTTTATTTTTTATTCACTGTTGAAAATGAAGCTTTGAAGTATCAACCAATAATACAAAATTCATTATCATAATATATTGATACAATACAAAATAAGTGTATGACTCTGCATGCATAAATATCACTAATCAACGACTGTATGTGTGTTATATTAAACTTTTTACTTTTGTTGAAGGTAAGTATAAAAATTTATTAATCCTTGTAAACATGATATGGAACAAGGCAAGATTCCAGAGTACTTTTTAAAATTGACCATGAAGTAACGATACAACATCCAATTTATAAGGATAAACGTTGAGATTAGAGAAAACGTTGACATAAAGATGTAAATATTGAGTTTATCAACACAGAGTTCCAACTATCTACCCCTAGGTAAAATGTTCAAAGACAACCAAGTATTGATGTAGGATTTACTGTTGTTTACTGCATTGGGGAAAATACATGTACGTAAAAAGAAGTGTTCAATTGCCATTTGGGGCTAATAATATGTAAAGACTGCTCTATTTAAAGACCTTTGATTGATTATTTTATTCATACACATTAGACTTTGAGACCTACCTGCAGATCAATCTAACTGAATGGTACCACAAAATTAAAACCCCTGTAGAGTGTAATTGTTGATTGATTATGTGTTGTTTCGAGAATTTTTCACTCATATGGAGACGCCACCACTTGCCCGTGGAGGGCTACAAATTCTGACCTATACTCGACACTTACGGCCATTGAGCAGTGAGGGATCTTTTACGTGCCAACACCTACTGCGACATGGGACCTCGGTTTATACGGTCTCATCCGAAGGACTGGTCTCCACGTCCCACAGTGGGATTCGAACCCACGATGTAAGGATCAACTCCTTACTCCGCAACTCTAGAGCAGACGCTCTAACCACTGCGCCACACGGGCTCCTGTAGAGTGTAAAGCAGGTCCGTAATGAAGCAAAGCCACCTATTTCTGCTAAATCATTAGTAAAATTTAGGTCCTTGTGGAATACTACAAATCCCGTGTATCTTAAAAAGATTAATGGCATGCACACTCTCAAGAGCTTTGAATTTACAATTCCTTTATTAATCACCGAGCTGTATACAATATCATCTACATGCTCAGAAACATTTCTATGGAGTCTATCAAAATGTCCTCTGATTAAACTTACATGTATATATTCTGTGATTTTAACATTTATATAGAGTCTGTCAATATTTTCTCTAATTAAACTTGTACAGTCTGTGAATTTATGTATTTTTTACTCGGTTATTTATAATGTTCGATGTATCATTTAAAGTATCTTTAACGAGAGAGGTATATCAAAATATCATGCACTACACGAGCAATAGATAGGAACACTCATCATTATAGATTATAATTATTATACTTGTATTTAAAAAAATGAATATTCATCATCGAATAATCCCACGAGACATCCGACGACGAATTTCATACGTAAAACTCAATGAATGACCATGTTTTTGTGTCGCATAAAACCTGTTTTAGATTCTATGGATGCCAGAATTTATTTTCGTTATACAAATACACACGGTTGTACAGATACCTTAATTTATTTCTCCTTATCGCACTAGATCTGAAAATTGAAACTTTACAATTATAAAAATATCACGATTACCTTCACTAAGAGGAAATTTATTAATATACTGACGTTCTTAGTATTAATGTACTATTAGTATATGTATTAATATTAGTTACACAGACTTGGAATTGGAAAATGGATTTTTGAATTAATTATTCTTCTAGCACATAAATAATGTGTTCAATAAGAAAGAAAAAATAAAATTAAATATAACATTTTGTTTAAAAAATCTCTCAAATACAAGTCAATCTGCAAGGTCAAAGGGTCAAAATTGTGCACAAGGGAAGATCTTGTCACAAGATCATATCGAAAAATTGTATTGTAGTATGAGAAAATGATACTTTTTAGCCATCTTCAGTGTGTGTATGCTATTTCATAGGCAAATAATTTCAATCTTTGTGAGATTTTTGCAAATTGTGGATATTTAATGTTTGATGAAATATGAAAGAAATTTTGTTATAATTGAGATTTAATTTTTTCACCTTCATGTTTGTTGCGCTATAGGCATTTCGCTCGCCTTGTTCGCCCATCAACTCTAAACTTAATTTTTAGTTTGGTTTAAGCTACATGTAGAATTATTATAATACTCCTAGTATAAAACAAAATTCTCAAAATGAATAAATATAAATAAACAAGTAAAATTGATGCAAAGCATCAAATCGGCCGCAAACAAAATGTAGCATTTAAAAAAAAAGTATTTTCACAAGTAAGCTTTTAAGGAAAGTAAGATATTGAAAGCTGAAAGAGTTAACATTTTATTTCAGGATACCCCCCCCCCCAAAAAAAAAAAAGAGCAGAAAATGCAAGAAAAAATGAATTTCAGTGCTTTTGTTCATCAAATTGATTCATCAATAAAAAAAAATTAGAGACATGATAAAAATTGTAGGTCTTCATACCTACAGATGAACCATGTGCTGATATCATGATATTTGTCACGTGATGATGCCGATGATTCCTGCAGACTTTTCAGCATGGCGCGGTGATGGACAACACAATGAAATGCAAAGTGTTTCATTCGCAGCTGTAGCTCACACAAAATTATTTTTTTTTTTTACTAGTTTTACAAACTTTTCATATTTTATTCATTACTTTTACCACTGTAATTATTATCCGGAAAATCATAACGATTTGTGTTCATATCTTACACTCTCCCAAGTCGGGGAGTACCTATTGTAAACCCATTTTTTAAAATCATATATTAATAATATTCTGATGAAGAATGAACATAGAAATAATACAAAATAGCTTTAATTTAATTTAAGCTTTATTTAGAGCAAGTTTTTAAAATATTTTAATGTAATTTTTATACATTTTATCATCAACAAATTAATTTACCGAACTAAAAAAGAAATAACACCTCATTTCCCCATTCGCACTTTTTAACACAACCACAAATAGATCGGCCGCTCCCGCGGCCGATAATTAATATAATACACTGAAAGTGAATATAATTGTTTATAAAAGCTGTATACCGTGTGGTGGAAGATTTCCTAAACCTAAAATTTAATGCTATATGTTTCCAACCATTTCTTTTTTAAAAAATTGTCTTCTCAATTTTTCGATACATATTTAGAACAAATGAAAAACATACACTCCATATAAACTAAGCCATATAATCAAAAATGTTGTATTTGTTAAACGAGTAGCTAGTCTGTAATTGCAAATCAAATCTATGCATGATATTTCATTTGCAAAATTGTAGCAAAAATTATTATTCCAGTTGAGATTGAACAGAAATTGAACAGAAATAAGCAGAAATAGCAGGAAACTTGCTATGTGACCAGGAATTGTATATTTTTTTATGAAATATTTTTTTTTAATTTGTGTTGATTAAAGCCTATAAAATTCTACTACAAATATTGAACTTAAAGTTGATTATTAATGACATGGGATACTAATAAAAAGAAAAGCAAAACTAAACAAAACGAACAAAAAATGCAAAAACAAACACGCCTTTTAACACGTTTTCGTCTAACTCATCAATTTGTTAAATTCCTTTTTCAATGCATGAATAAGTTTTTAACACAAATAAAATTAAAAATGTCAATAAGTTGACGTTATTTTTATTGTATGAAAATATTTTACTGTCCATGATCACTTTGGAGATAATAGATCACAGTCTCCAAATCTTTAGCTCCTTAAAACCATCACTCATTGAATTACACTACTTGAGAAAACATTTCTAGATTGATTTATTTCCCTTGGTTAAAATTTTTTACACTTATCGACTATTAGGTTGAGAACACGATTTCTTTTCCTCTACTAAATTTGAATCCGACGAATGTAAAACTGATTGAACAACTCCAGAGAAAAAAGCAATAAAATTGTAGTTCATGTCAGTCGTCTTTCACGTTGCTGCTCTCTCGTTAAATTATTCATAATTACAAGCAGATTAACAAAAGGAACGTTGTAATTCGTACACTTTTTTCACATTTACCCAATAATGCTCAACAGAGCATTCCAACAATCGGTCATAATATCGATATAAAATAACGAAACATTGCGTAACTTCGTAATGAAGTTGTCAAAAACCGCAAGAAAGCTTGTAAAACAAATGTCAAGGTGTCAATGGACATGCTCCGCTAATAAGAAATGCATAGTACGTGTAAATAAAACCTGCAATAACAGTACATTGTACTTTGATATTGCATGGGAGCATATTATGAACAGGGTATTTTGAGGCGTTTATGGGGAGTTTCAAATCTTTTAAATGATTTAATTATTTTTGAATATATAAGTTTTAATGTGAGTTATGCTAAATATAAAATAAGCATGAAAAATAAATAGCGATGACATTTTTTTTTTCAAATTAAATGTAGATAAGCTATGTTATCATAATCTTTCATAGAACCCCTTTTTGTACCTCTAGACTCTTTATGATCCCTTTCTATAAAAAGGAATAGAGTCATGGATAATATTACAGAGCATCTGTAGCACCAAATCAAATCAGGTAAGGAAGGATCTTATATAGATAACCATGCGACATTTGTGGAATTTGAATCATTTCAATCCTTGCTAAAATATTGCTCGATTTCTCCGATACTTTTTTTTAAAATATTTTTTTCAAAGTAATCAAAAGAAAGAAAATTAGTACTCAGCGCTTTTTAAATTTGAGTTGGAAATTAATCTTTTTTTTTTTATTTATCCTTATCAGGTAACGATGAAGTCCTCGGTCGCCATTGTTTTGGCTGTTTTGTGCCTGTCCGGATCTGTATTCTCACAGACCGTTACTACAACTGGAACCAGCAACATCTTTCAGCAAATAGGCGCCTTCATCAGCTCAAACCCAGCGCTAGCTCTGTCCTTCGCTGCCCCATTTTTCGCCGCCAACAGTCTCGGACCCAACCCAAGCAGAATTCTCGTTCCACCACCCCCACCTTTCTTTGCTCCGTTCCCTCCTATGGGAATGATGCCCATGCTTCCACCTCCCATTGTTGTCAGGAGACATCACTACTGAGAAGGTAATTAGTCAATCTAATTAAATTGGTAATTAGAGCACTTACTCCGAATTAATTGATTTTCTTCAGCCTGTAATTAAAGAATGAACATAATCGATGATAGAAATTTAGACTCCGTAACTTGTACTTTTAGCTACTAGTTTTTCTCCAATGTGACGTCTTTACATGTGTTCTCTAACTTATCAAAGAAAACAAAATGAATCACCGAACGTTTTGATGAAACATATAGAGTGATGGAGACAAGTCATTAACTGTTTATTTTTAAAGAATGGAGAAAATGAATTTTTTTTTTTTACTTTCTCATATAATTCAATAAAATCCTGATTCCCAAATCTACCAACTTGAACAATTTATTATTAAAATAACCTTTCCCCGTTATCATGATATTTATTATATATCTGCAATACTCGACAATGAAAAAAGATTCTTTTGTTTAATAAACTAACAATGTTTTTTTTTCTTTTTTCCTTAAGGAAAACTTATTCCGATCGAGTTAACCATTTGATGTCTCAGCTTTGTCACTCCCATGGGCACAAAAGATGCTCCACGACAGAGAAAGAAAGCTTGGCAAGAATGTTGTTCAACGGACGGGAAAGACTGTTGTAAATAAAGATTGTACAAATAAAAAATTGTTATGTTTCCATATTTGTTTTATAATGTGTTGTTATATTGGTAATGACAGTGGCCCAGTCTCTCTTTTCTTATGATATCTTGATTATACATAACAGCTATTGAGGCCATATCATATAACTGTCTTTCCCAACCCTCTGACAAAAAGAAACTTTCGTTTTAGTTCACTTTTACAACTGGGATATGTCAATTTAATATCTAATTTTTGTGGCAGTCTAGTGTATATCAAGCAGAAAGGTTTACACAAAAAAAATCTGAAAATAAACACTGCATTTGAAGAAAGGTTATAAATATGGTTCGAATATCATCGAAAAATACATTATATAGAATATATACATTATCCTTGACCAAAGCACCTATGAAAGAAAGAAATTAGGTTTATTAAGATGCAAAATGATGCCAGCAGCTCTGGAATAAAACCAATACCTGGGGATAGACCGGACACTACTCACAAAAGTAAACGGAGTATCGTCAGGTTTAATGTGTCACAAATGTGGTGTCCTGCAGGTCTCGTCTACTAGTATTTATTGTCGGGTGTCATTCAGAGTCTTTTGATGATAATGATTTGAGAAATCTGTGTTTACTTGTACGTTTGTGTACATGTGCCGTATGAAATCTTAAGAAAAAGGAGGGTTTTTTTCTTAACAATTAGAATCAACCATATTCTCAACTTTGACCTCATCATCAAAAAATGTACAAAAATTACTGACCTCATCAGACTTTAAGTGGACAGAGCCCACAGAATATGCTATTATAATAATGGTTTGTTGTAAAGAATATGGAAGTTTAAATCCAGTTTGTAAAAAGAGTGGTGGTAAAAAAAAAGGATATAAATAACTAAAGGGTACAATAAACTCTTTGGACCGTGCAGGTTTAGCTCCTTTGAATTCCATAATTGTTATTTTCGGAAAGAAATACAATAAGTTAAAAACAAAAACAAAAAAAAACAACAGTTGAGGCAATTCAATTTTACTTTACTAATACAGAATTTGAGAAAAAGGTCGAAGAAATGGTGTATTAATTCATAAATAGAGATACTTTAAAGAAAAGTTTAATAAGCAATTGTCCACTTGACATTGCAGTTGTTTATATTTAAATAAAAATCAACGCGTTAATAAACTTCAATAAATCACACATTGTTTAAAGGACCATTGCTTAGTTTTACACTTTGCAGATGAAATTGATATAACATCCGAGCTTTTCAGCGCTAAGTGCAATAATCGGTATTTTCCTAATTTAAAGGTCACTTTTATTAAACATTAACAAGAAACAAATGAATCTCCTGGCATTTTAACACAAGTTGTCTATTTTCCCATAAGATGCTGTTTCAAATTTTAAATTCTAAAATCCAGTGTAATATACATAAGAAACTAATATCAAACGTATCTCCGGTATAAATGATATTCATATTCATGTTCGTTTTAATAAAACACAAACAAATTGAGAAAAAAAACTGTTTATGCTCACTAATTTTTTTTTCAAATAATCGTTTACACTGCATTTTGCATTCATAAAATAAGGAAAACAAATGATCTTGTCCATTTGGCAATATAAATTTGCATATTTCATGGACTTTTAAGATTAATACGTACTCTACAAAAATAACCTGAAAATTTTCCTTATTTACCAAAGAAGTTACTGTTTAAAGATGATGGCTTCTGTAATCACAACCGAAAAATAAAATTCTCTATAAATTCTTTTCAGCGGAGGGAACTGCTGAGAACTCACTCAAAAGCTTGCAATATGAGCAAATAAACAATTCCTGTAATATCCATTATATACGAAGTATTTATAGAAGCAATTGTTATCAAATTAACTGCTTGTCAAAAGTAGCAAGAGAACAAATTTTTACACACGATTAGAAAATTTTGTTTGTAAATAACGGAAAATGCATTGGAAGAATATCTTTAATGTTGAACACATTAAATGATACATGTATTTTACTATTACAGAAAACGTTACAGCAAAGACACTTGTAGTCAGTTGCGTAATGTGGTAGCCACTAGCTATTACTACCAGATGCATCGGATAGAATCAACTGTGATAGACCGAAGCAGATTTAAACAAAATACACTAATAAAATTAAAACTCAAAGAACAAAGATTTCCAGGAAAGAGTAAGACATAATCAGATAATCCATGACCGGTCGACCGGGGACGCTCTCTCCTCAGTGGCACTTGATCCCACCTCTTTTTTCAATTTGTATTATTTAAATGGACTTTTGTGCATGATCATTGTTCGTTATCTTCACATTTCATGTAATACAACTGTATTTTGAGAACATTTTCAACTGAAGAGAAAACGTATACTGCATTGCAATTGGTTATACTACAGATTGACGATATAGGTCCACCAATCACTAGACTGAGGCCTTTGGGTTAGGTTGTGTATTCCAAAACACATCTACATTCATTTGTAAGCCCGATCATTACATCAGTCAGTAAGGTACTACATTGATGCATGTTTTCTAGCCTGCAGATATACTTCCATAGACTACCTGACAGATGAAACACGTCATAACACGGATATATGGCGTAATTACATTATTCGTCATACCTTTAATTTTATTATGCCACATAAGTATAAAATATATACACATAAACATTTTAGTCTTTTGGGCAAAATTTTATTATGAAAATGTCATTTAGAAGGCAAACTTGCGTGTTGTGCACCAATTCAGCAAAAAAGTGTTAATTCTATGAATGAAAATTTTACAAAAGTAAACCAGAGAAATAAATATTAACATGAAAAGGGGGTGGAGGGGGGGCATTGGGTAGATTATAAAGTTGTATTTCTGGATGTTGGATAAGAGATCTGTTTCTTTCTTGTCATCCCAATCTTAAACCCTAATAAAACTTCGTCACTTTCGTAAAGTTGTTCACTTTTTTATTCATTTTCAATCATTTTCAATTGCCAGCGAGCACATGGCTGATTAAGTACATAATTATCAAAAAGCAGAAAATATCAACAACCACAAAATAATAAGATCAGCTTTGTAGGCTTGATATTTTGATTTATTTCTTTAAATCAATTTTAATCTACATTTATGTGAATATACTTTAAAAAAAAGTAAAACCTTCCTGTTTTAAGAGGATTACAAAACAATGCATCTCGTTAACTTAAGGTGGTTGGTCACTCAATGGACAATGGCGGATGTGTCAGAATGACCTAACAGACATGTTTTATATCACTATTTTATATCACTGTGGACTTATTTATTACGTAATCACATAAAAACACATTGTTTTATCGTTAATTGTCAAACATCCTCACTATATAAGGATAACGAGAACGTCATAAAGGAGTTTTTAGTTTGCAGTTCATTATTTTGGTAAGTGAAATTTTTAAGTGAAAGTTACGGGCTCAAGAACAAACGGGAAAAGGTTTAAGTCGAAATTAAGATTTTGAATACTGAATTTTTATATAAAATTTTTTTTTTATTGTAAGTTTTTGTTTCTTATGTGAATAAAAATGCAAGCGCATAATGGTTTATTTTGATTTTCAAAATTATGTTAAGAATTAAATTAATATTTACAATTCAGTTTATTATACTTCTGCATTCTGTACATTGTTTTACGCATTGTTTTAAGTTTTAGTTACAGCAGTTTTGTCTGCTTTGTGCAATGTTTAGCAGATAAGACATTCATGTAGGACTTTCCAGTTGTGTTGACAAACAAGAGATGATGCGATCGTTTTATTATTTTTTTTTAAAGCTCTATGAATAAAATTTACTTGATTTTTCTAACTACATGTAATACACTATCTCTACGAAATGCACAATTATCGTCACTTTTTTACCAGTTTGCGTAACGTGGATTTTAGCACCTGTCCCCGAGAGAGTCCAAAGTACTGAAAAAAGAGTTCTAAATTAAAAGCCCTGTCTGTGCTTAAACGGTGTAACGCTATAAAATTGATGTAAATAAATTTTGGAATTTTTTACTGAAACATTTCGCTCTAAGGTTCAATATTCAGATATATTTGCCCTATTGTAAATTTTAAATTTACTGGGTGGTAGTAAATCTTCAATTTTCAAAATGATAAAAATACAAGTATTATTAAATCTGTATGTGTACATCTAAAAATGAAAAATTTACAACATGACATAAATGGATGAATTTATAAAATGATTTATGAACCATTCTTTTATTTTCAGTATAAAATGGGGAAACTTCTGCTCTCTTGTCTTCTGCTTTCCCTGGTGTCGTCTGCCTTCTGTCAGGTGTTCCCTAACCTCTTCCCTGGATTTGGACCTACTTTTGGCCCCTTTGCAACCGTCGGATTTTTGGACCGCGTCTCGGGAGGACCTGGTCTGATCCCCAGAGTAATTAATGGCCCCTTGGGTGGTGGATTCCCAACTGCACTGGGTACTTTTGGACTACTTAGTGGAGGAAACGTGCCTTTCAACCTCGGCCTGCTTGCTGTCGGTTGATAGAAGACTGTTTATTAAGAATGAATTGAAAACTCTGAAATACTATCTGTAAATTGTTTTGTTCTTACTACGTTGTTTTATGTGGAAGTGCTGTATAATACTGTCATCCCACCAAAGCAGTTCGATACTTTAAAGAAGTCACCCTGTTTAAAAACCATGACAGAATTCTCAGTGAATAAAAAGAAATTATGTACTTAATAACTGTCTCTCCATGAACCAGTGCCTTAAATAAAATTTATTAACTTTTATTTCTGATTTATGTTTATTCTAAAATAAAATTACTGTAAAGGATTGTATTAAATTTGATAAATCTCTCTCTCTCTCTACACGGTAAGTATGATCTATTCAGAGATGAAGAGAAATAGAATGATTTTAATCCAATCATTGTCTGTTAGTGTAATGATAGTCCCATCTTTAGTACTTCCATTGTGCAGTACAATCTCGAGAAATTTTTTAGAAAGACATTCTTAGCATAGGACGAAATATTTTCAGAAATAATTAATTAACTTTAGCATATTTTGACATTATCTGCAATGACTTATGTTGAGTGGGTCATTTTTCAATTATTAAAAAATCTATTTTGCGACAATTTTCTAATTTTGTCTGCCTCCATTTCATAAAATATTTTACGACAATTATAAAATTAACATTCTTTTTTATTTGTACGTTTTTATTCAATTTTTCCTAAATCATACAACAACAAAACAGTGGGAAAACATCAACCTGGAAAGAGAGAAAAAAAGGAAAAATAAATAATCAACATTAATGTAATCAGAAAGAGTTTGTCGTTGTAGTTAATATATTTTATAAATGAGGGAAAAAAATCTCCCGGTCCGATGGGTTATTTTATGTCTTACCTGTAGGATGTTTAGTACATGGCGCCGCTAGTACCGTAGTAGTTGGAGTACTGAGCCCCGGATGATGAGGGGTAGTAGGAGGAGGCGGCGTATCCTCCCTGGGGAAAGCTTGAGGCACCGGCGTAATAAGCCTGTGTTGGTTGGTATCCTACGGTCTGATATCCTATATAAAACAAATAGAGATCATTTCTTTAGCTTCGGAATTCTTTTGCAGTATAGCGGTAGAGATAAAAATAAGGAATTTTACCGTCTGATACGTACCTGACACGAAGGGAACGGCATTGGATTTTCCGTATCCGGTGTAGTGCTTCTTTGGCCAGACGGTCTTCTTTCCGTATCCGTGGTATTTCTTTCCGTATCCTTTACCACCGATCCGTCCTCCGATTCCGGATCCGATACCGCCAAATCCACCACTGATGGCTCCAAATCCACCACTAATGCCCCCGAATCCACCACCGATACCTCCGAATCCGCCACTGATACCTCCGAATCCGCCACCGATACCTCCGAAAGATGGACCTCCAATGATTATGATTCCATCATCATCAAAGAAATCATCATCGAAGAAATCATCATCGAAGAAACCATCATCGAAGAATCCGTCATCAAAGAATCCGTCATCGCCCCCGATGATTCCGAATGGTCTTCCGAATGATCCCCCAAATAACTGGGCGGAGCAACAAGCCACAAGCAGAGCGGCAACAGTCACGGACAATAAGGAGTTCATGGTTTCTATGAGTCTAAAATATATTTAAAATATATTTAAAAAATAATTCTCAATGACGAAAAGAAGTATATAAGCTCTTTTCAGATACCAGTTAAATAATTTCAACAACAAAAAAATACATGGTTTTGGAAATTACTGAAATTTGAGTACTGAATTTCAAAGAGCTGAAAACTTGGTAAAATTATTTTCCAACTTCAATCAGGGTAAGAATTAGAAAAAGTTATTTATTTGCCATTAAAAGTGAGTAGATTTCAGCCGATTGTAGGAGAAGCTTACCTGGATATGATCAGCTGGACACTGGTACCGAGACACAGATGCAGTGACCTTTATATAGAGCGATCTTCGTAACCTACACAGAACAGGGTGCATGGCTTACGGGTGACATCGTAACACGACCATGCGTAACGTCGACAGGTTACAAATGTTACCGCATGTCAGTCTGGTTAACTGCTTCCTGAATCCAATTCAACATTGAACCGAGGAAGGAATATAAGCCTTAGTTGTGCGTAAATACTCATATTTTATTTAGCTAAAGAATTGTTGAATAAGTGATATATGTTTATTTTTATCGTTGATATTCTCTCTCTCTCTCTCTCTCTCTCTCTTGTCCCAGTGAAAAACGAAAAAGAGAAAATTGTGCATTTAAAAAAACCCCAGAGGTATGATATTTTTTTGAATATGACAGATTTAAATTCGTTTCTTTAAAATGAAAAATCGAATGAAGATATTTTTGATACTGCTCCTATCAGAGAATGTAATTTGTATCTCCCCGTTAAGAAAATTTTTGCTTTTCAAGTTTTTTTTTTTAATGTGGCCTCCACCAAATTTAAAAGTTTTTCAATTTAAATTTGTATTTGTTTTATACATGTTCAAATTTCAACTGAACAAACTCAAAATTTGGTAGGAGAAAAATGTAAAACTATATAATTATTAATCTAATGTGTGTGTTTGCATGTATAGGGTGCGTGTGTGTGTGTTTTCTAATCATTAAGAGGAAACTGACTACAATATGTTGGTTTCATTCCTTTAGAGAAGACAGTCTGCAGAGAGTGCGGACCATTTTGTCATATATAAATTGAAAGCAAATATCGTTTTTGTCTTTTTGCAAAACTTTGAATTTTCTTTCAACACAGAGGGAAATCCGCAAGAATGATTAATTAATTCTACGAAGAAAGTATCATTGAAACCAAAAATAAAGCAATGGGACAAATTAACTTATCTTTAGGTAGCTGCAGAACTGTAGCTCTCTGATCGAGAAAATTCGGGCAGAAAAACCAGAGAGCTACAGATTTAAGCATGATTGTAAAAACCTTCGATTTAAAGCACTCTTCGGGTATTATTTCTTGTATTATATGTATTCTCCCGCTCAAAGCATAGCATCAGTTATGTAACCATATATCTTAGATACTTTATTGATCTATAAACCGTCTCAAATAGACAAACAGCTTGGAATGTCACTTTAAAAAAAAAGCTGGTATTCCGACATCCATGCCCAACACGGGCATGTCAATTTTTTTCTAGGTGTATTTTAGGATGATCCCAACATAGATGTCGGAATGCGAGTTTTTTTTGACATTCCTAGATATATATATATATATATATATATATATATATATATATATATATATATATATATATATATATATATATATATATATATATATATATATAACATATACACAAATATATATATAATTTCTTTTTTTATATCTTAATAGCTGATATTTGAACTCCCAAAGTTTCACTTAGACTTTCTCGGCATGGGTATTTTCTACAGGCGTAGTTTAGCAAACTAGTTTTCTGAGAATTTTTTATGTAGTAGCAAGTATTTATTTGATATAGCTTAGGGTACGATGGCATCACCATACTATATTTCAGTTTTGAAATTTTTTACGGTATTCCTTTCAAAATTTAATGGTGCAAACCATGCACACATATATAGTGATGCGGTCTTGATTTTATTTGGGATTAAAACCAATTATTTTCGATTAGAGCTGTGTGTCTTTTAATGATTTAACAAAAATTGGTACTGATTTTCCGAGTGTATGTAATGATTTATAAGCTTTAGCAACCCCCCCCCCCTTTTTTTTTTTGGAAATTCGATTTTAGAAGTTTCTGGGTATTTAAGGTTTTAAAAAGTTTTTCTCTGACTTATCATTCCAATTTTAACAACATTGAAATCTACAAATCAAGCAGTTTATGTCAGATTAGATATTAATCTATTATAGCGTGCAAAATGTGATAATGAGCGGTATTTTTGGCTTTAATTTCTGTTACAAGGTTTGTGATTATTTTACACCATATGTTATACTTTGGACTGAATTGCAAGGAAACTTTTAAGATTCTTACAAATTGATAAAATAGACCGTACTGATATAAGGAAACAGGTAAAAATAAGGCTTTGCCAGAAAAGCTGTCGTACAAACTAGTATACAACCTATACTAAACAAAACTTCGATTAATACTGTCTTATGAATCATATACTCTTGGTTAATGTGTATGACTTGATTGATTGTTGATTTTAATAGATATGACTTCATCTTGTAACAATTAATGTGGCTTAACTCGCTTCCAAGATAATCCCGTTTCTATATCATAAATACATTTTTTTCAACAAATATTTATTTTACAACAATATTCAGTGTAAAAGGACAAAAATAGAGATATTACAGAGTTGGAGAAGTATACTTAGAGAGTGAACAATTATATGAATATACAGATGATTCTGAGGTAATACACAAGGAAGCCCAAAATAACTGGACTACATGTAAAGTTAATCTTAGCCTTCTGTCAAAGAAAACGAAAAATTAAAAATATTCTTAAGATAAATCTCCACCAATCAAAACGGTCGACACAGGACGCAAGTCTGATGAAATATACACCGGAAGTACGTCAGAAAATGAACCAATCCCTGCAAATGACAACAGATTTTAAAATAAATTTTGGTATACTAAAAAAAAAGTAGTAAAAAATTATAATTCTGCAATTTCAAAGGTCTCATAAATTCGAGTTAAGAGTAAAATTGAAATACCTTCACTCATTCGAATGATTCAAATCAGGCGCACGTTGTTAACCTACAAAAGTTTGACTAATTTTAAAAAATCCTTCTTCTTTAATTTCATTGATTTCATATGTAAATAAATGAGTGATAAACAAAACTTTCATATTGAAAAAAATATACCGGTTTACACTGATAACTAAATGTTTACATAAACACGTGATAGAGAATTGATACATCTTTTGCATTGTGTTATCCCCGTTTTGTCTAAATGGAAGAGTTATAAGGATCTCGGCTAGAGGTAGATAGAAAGAGAGAGAGAGAGAAAGAGAGAGAGAGAATATAAATACTCCAGGTGTATACATCAATTAAGTCAAGTTACATCTGTATCTGTTAACAATCAAGTTAAATTTTAGTTAATAAATTATTTCACCCGAGGATGAAGTATAAGAAGACTGTTATATTACATTATTATTATTGCATTATTATTATTACATTATCATTATTACATTCTGTGATAGTAAAACAGGTGGTTATATAATTGTAAAGAAAACAAGACACAGAAGTGATATAGAAAGAGTGTTAGATGGTGGTAGTAAGGAATGGTTTGTATGGAATTCCTCTGTTAAGAAAATCTACTCTCTGGAGACTCCGGGATATTCCAATTTAGGAGTATTCCACGGTCTCTCACCAAACTTACCAAATAACTTATAATAATCTCAAAACATTCTTCTATGTCCGTAGGGTCCTGAAAATTAAAGTCAGGGTAAGTATATGAACAAATCTTCACTCTTGTACCTTACCATAAAGCATTCCAGGATGGGGTGGGAAGGGTCCGATAAAGGGGCGTGGCAGTCCACGTCTGACAAATCGGCGACCCCCGCCGATAAAGGCCGGTGGTGGAGGAACTAAAACTCCAGAGGGATTCCTGCCCAAGTTGCTGGAGGCAATAAATGGACCAGCAAAAGACAAGGCCAACAGAGGATAACCACTTATGAAGCTCCCAATTTGACCAAAAATATTGGTGCTTTGAGAGAAGACTGGAATGGTCAACCCCAGAATAAGAAACGTTATGATGCAAAGCTTCATTTTGTCGCTGAAATAAAAAGCCTTGTCGAATACTGTTCTTTATCACCCTAGTAGCTCTACTGTCGTCAACTATTTGCCTTTGTGTGTGCGTGGGTGAGGGGCAGGGGGGGGTATACTAAGAGTGCAGGTAACAAAAAAAAACAGTGATATGAAATTTGATGTATTGAAATAAGCAAATAGTAATGTATCGTCACCCCTTACCTTGCCTAATAACGAAAATTGGTGGAGGAGGAGGCCTCATAAAGGGCATCATGGGAAAAAATGGCCTTCTGAAAAATGGCGGCGGTGGCGGGAATGGAGGTCTGCTTAACCCTAACCCTGATGGATTTGGTCCTAGGCTGTTAGCAGCGAAAAATGGAACAGCGGCTCCGATTGCCAGCCAAGGATAAGTACCTATAAATCTCCTAAGTGTATCACCTATTCCCCACGTGGTGGTTGTGGTCTGTGAATACGATTGTCCGAGTAGGGACAATACGAGTAATAAACAAAGTTCTCGTCTCATTTTTCTGTAAAAATTTAAAAATCAGTCTCAGGGTATTTTCGGTCCTAAACAAATCATTGTCATATACAGTGATGATGAGGATGAGGATGATGACGTCACATTTTATTGTACGTGCATGTCCAATTCACCGACACAACAGAGACAACGAAGCACAGCGCCGGGCAACGGCACACCATTTACCATTACTCATGGATGAGGATGATGACGTCACATTTTTTGTACGTGCATGCCCAATTCACCGACACAACAGAGATAACGAAGCACAGCGCCGGGCAACGGCACACCATTTACCATTACTCATGAAGTTTGATTAATTTAAATGTGTGTTTCTAGAGAGTATAGACATTTTGCCATTGTCGTTAAACAGCAATACAATGTATTTAGTTTTTTTTTTTTTTTTTTTTTTTTTTTTTTTGAACACGTGGAAACAAAGCTACAACATAAAGATTAAATTACACAGAATCCGTGGACGTCTTATTTGATCTGGGTGGAAGGATTGGGTGGGGGTTGGGGGGGGGGGGACAAGTACAGACTAAAGACACACAGATGACAACAGAGAATTAGGCAATAAACAACAGCACAAATGTTAAAACAAACAATAAAATATGAATTAATTAATTAATCCTGGTAAGTAAATGGCAATGAGAAATATATTTTGTTACATATAGTATCAGCTTCAGAGATATGCAACCACAAATTTAACACATATAAATATTCTTAAATATTTATAAAATATCTGTATGCCACAAAGAACTGAGAAATTCAAAGTGAAAAGGGATGATTTTGTGCAAAAATGAAAGTTGATTATATACTTCAAATTGAAATAGATTTTTTGCTATCTTCCGTCCAAGAAGAAAAACATTAATTGAATAAACACAGCTTATCAAAAAAGAATCAGATGTTCTCCTATCACAGTTCATACCAAAGGATAAAATTGTGGTCCAGAATAAATCCACCAGTTTAATTAATCCAATTAAAACAGAGAGCGATATTCCGGACCCGTCCTGTCAGCTAGAGAATCCCGTGGCAAATGCAGGGCAAAATACGGACTGTCATCATTTTATACATAGAAAAAATAAATATGCAAATATTGACAATTGATGTATGTTGGGACAGCTTTCGTCGTAAGAAAAACCAGCGAAAAGATATCAGCTCAGCAGTAAAGCCGAGGACTGCCATAAAAAACCTCACTTTTTAGTGCCATAAACGTCCCCCTGTAAGGTATATGGGGTTCCTGAGCTGATCTAGGTCAAACTCTTGGATCATCTGTCACGATAGAATTGGTTCTGGAAGATATGTGGTTGATTTATCGGATTGGTGCACATACTTTGGTTCTTTTACTTTTCTTGTCTTTTTTTTCAAATAAAGGCGCTAAATATTGCGTCACACTTTTATAAAAGCAATATTTTATCACATAGATATTTTTTTCCTTTCTTTTTATCTTATGTGGTAAAATTACCTACGCTTTATAATTATTTCGCTTACTGAAGAGGAATGGGGATTTTTTCTTGAACTTCAGAGGAATGAAGTTGATGGAATCCACGCAAAAAAAAAAAAATGTAAATAATATTTGATGGAGCACATGTTTACATATGACACCTTTTTCTTTCCCGTTTTTATTCTTCAGTGTTTAATAGAAATATTTAAGAGAAATAATTTTTTTTTCTTTTCCTCTTTTTTTTTTTGTGTCAAGTCAAAAATTTAAAATTTATACTAGTTTATATAAACAAACAAAACAATTTTTAATCATAAAATTACATATTAAAAATGGTAGATGATTCATACGGAAAATAGACATTTAACTACATGTCTGCAGGGGCTTTATTTTTAATTTAATTTTTTTTTTATTTATTTCTTTGTTTATTTATATTTATTTATTTATTTATTTATTTATTTATTTATTTATTTATTTATTTATTTATTTTGCATTTTCCCCCATGACAATTGAATTTCAGGAAATTGTTTAATTAATTGAGACAAGAATTTACTGAGGACATGTATATTGTATTCCTTTTTTATTCTCTTCAATAAAAGATCTTCAAAAAAAAACTATCAAAATGAAAATATATTTAAAAAAACACCAAAATCTGATCAAATGTACTTTTAAAAAATGTTTGACGAAATTGATTTATAAAAATAAATTCTACCGAGTATGTTACGATCTAACTGCTAACTACAGCCGTTTTCGTAGACATTGAATAAAAAGAGATCATATAGTTCATGGGTTAAGTTCCTTTTAATTAGTAATTAATTTGTAATTTGACCTACTGCCTTGGAGTGCCAACAGATCAAGGTTTCCGTCAAGTCGTGACCATTATTACTCTTCATTCAAGACACGGAGTGATTGATCATAAGTTGGCAGTGCGCAGAAGATTTCCTCTTTTACAATACTGCAATTTAGAATGGATGTCCTTAGGTCATCTTTTAAAGAAATGTTTGCTTGTCCTCTCCCGACTGATGGTAAAAAAAAATTAGGTTGGTAGGTAGGAGGGATTTTTTTTAAAATTCAAAATCACTTGCAAATATGAAGTTCTAATAGTTATTAATGGGATGAGAAAACTCCGAAATGAATAAAACAAACCATAGTTGTTTCCTGGAGGTTAAAAAAAAAGGCCTTGAGTCAGGCTGTTTTAAGTAAGTCGGTCGGGAGAGGGAACCAATTTTTTTTTTTAAAAATGGCCTTACGTATAGTTGTTAATGTTCATAAGGAGAAGTTTCCCTCCCTAAAGGTTGAAGGGATTCGATCAAAAATAAGGACTGATTGTTTCTGGAATCAATCGTAAGTTCCAGGAACTCGGAAATTTTCATATTTTGTGATTGGTCTTCAACAAAATCAATTTGTTAAAAATCACTCTGATTCTACACACAGGTACTCTGAAATTGATATTACTCTGAGAACGATCTTCTTTTTTTTCATCATAGATATCAAATATGAATTTGTTCAGAGATGAAAGTAGAAGTATCTTATTTTTTTTATCACTTTTTTACTAAAAAATCAACTTGGCTAAAATAAGGTATTGAATTAGGAGATGTGTAATGCTTTATTTTGGACAGTTGATGCATTCCATGCAGAATCCAATGTTTGGTTGGAATTAATTTGGACGGCAAGCAACGAATATAGTTATACCACTCTCCAAAATGGCGTCCATTTTCGCCCGCAGAGTTTGCTACTTATTGAACTTAAAGGATCATTTCATAGCAAAAGGGGTAATACTAGTACTTTATTAATTATATTGATTTGTTCTTCTTGATCACCTCAATTTGTTCGCAATAATGAAACATTAAATTATTTTTTGAAAGATATAGTCTCATAAATGCATCTTTACTACATTATTTTAACCCCTGCATTGTCCGCGATTTTGATTTTCAGGTATTTTTCAAATTTCCTGTCATCTTTCAGATAGATCAATACACGTACAACTAACGAACTGAACAATGCTCAAAGATTTTGATTATCATTTTTTTTTTTTAAATTGTTTTGAAATCTGATAGCATTAACTTTAATTTGTTAACAAATTGATACAATACGACTCGCAAACACTTATTTTGTTTTTTAAATATTCAGTAGTTCTTTGATTAACAATTCCATCATACTTTGGTGATTCAGTACTGTGTGTTACGTGAATGAAACTGTCTATAATAACGCTTTTTATTTGGAGAAAACTAAGTAAATATGAATATATCTACATGTAGCTGCTGATGTGCGTGCATATGTTCTTAACAGTATTGTGGTCACACGACCTGTATTTTTGCTTTTTAGTCTTAAACTCGTATACAGATGTGGCAGGTGACCAGGAGTACCAGATTATTACTAGATGGGCAACAGGTCAAAGGGCTAGGCCATTGTATACATGTAGGTGTCATTGTATAGTCTCCAAATGTTGTGAACACCATATGTAAAGTATCATTAGACCTTACAGTTCTTTTCATGGTAGGTGACCAAAAACTTAACAAGCCTATTCATTTTAGGTCAAAAGTCTAGGTCAGGGTCAAAATTATTGACTAAATTTGTCACAATGCTGTAGTAAGGATGCGTCAAGACGGCAGCAATTGACCTTTAACAATGGACAGGAGGTGGTAGTTTGACAAGAAAAACGTGCTTAGAAATATTCATATTGCGGTGACCGATGGTCAAAGTTCCGCCCACAAATTAAATTATGTACAATATCTTTTTAAAAAAATGTTTCTTGGTCATTCAGTTTCATACTCAAAGATGCATGACGGCCAGAAAAAGAAGCGCCATGTATTAATTTCAGGGTCAAAGGTTAAGGTTTAAGACGGTATATTTGACTTCAGTCTTTTGCTTGCTATAGAATTATAATACAGGCTGCATAGCTGGGGAAAACGACTTATGATTTAAAAAATCAAAATTCTAGGAAATAGTTGGTATCTGTGTTGATATATTTTGTGAAAAACTGTTCTTTGAATGCATGACTTCGTTATAGAGGGAATGATCTACTTTGTTGTGTCCCTTATTCGCTTCAATCGATTGATTTGTTCTTGTATTAAAAAAAAATATTTTTCAAACCTTGACAACTTTTATTCTTTCAGTACATTAATTTTGACACCAACTCTGTATACGGCCTTAATTTCCTACCACATTTACTTTTACCAACAGCATACATTACCTTTATCAACAACATACATGCCATTCACATGGCGGATTCTTTTTGCTGTTGTCGCAATAATGCTGTGGTCAGCTAGGCATGGCATTTAATGTGTATAAAAAATACATCTATATGTTAGCGGCCGAAAACATCCTCATATAGATGTTATATATCCATGTCGACATGCAAT